TATATATATATATATCGACATAAATAGCACGAAGTTATTTTTTCGGGCAAACGATTATTAATTTTATTAATCGAATCTTTTGACTCTTACGGTTTATCAAATATATATTTTAAATTAAAGAATCATATTTTATATACATAACATAATTGAATATTACTTTTTAAATCACGTATCATGCAACGATCGATGTTTCTTCGTTTTTTAAAAACAAAAAAAAAAACAAAAAAAAATAATTTGTGACAAATGATTTATTTGAAATATCTCCAACGAAATTCCTTATAATTCGTACGATTAATATCAGTCAAAGAAATATACGTCAAAAATAGAAGATCATCGTTCCTCGGTGGTAAATTTGAAATAATGCATGGTACGTAACCCAATGATAAGAATAACTTCGTACCATTTGGGCTTAACGTGTGCTTCTGTGACGGCACCTGTTCTCATTATTTCACTTCGACGCCCTCGCGATCTTACATTATTTAAAACTATGATCGTCTCGTCAATCTTAACCGATTTCATTTTAATTTAATGAAAATCTTATTTATAATTTAAACAAAATATATATATATTATTATTCGATCTTTTTATATCCATTTATTTATCTATTTCGTTGTTTCTGTTTTTTTTTTCTCCCCCTCCTTTATTTATTTTATTATTTATTCATTAATTCATTTATTTATTTATTTTATACGATTCATTATATGATAATCCATATACAATTGTTTTTCTTTTATATTTCATTTCGATTTAATTTTAAATGGGTCATTATTAATTGTAATCAAAAATTTTCATTTTTATTTAACAAATTTGAATGCGAATTATTTCGACAATCGATCAATATATATATATATAAGTTTATTATTAATTTTTCGAAAGATTTTTATGGTAATGTATATCATTGAAGAATTTAAAAAGTATTACGATAGCATTAGAATCATTTTAAAAGTTAGATTCTGAGTAATGTTTATTTAGGATATTTCAGGGATTAGATAAAGTTAATTAAAATAAATAAAGATTTTTTTATTCAGTCAGACAAAATAGGAAAAAAAAAAAAATATAAGATTATGAATAAAATCAATATAAACGTTTAGGACATTAAACTTTTATTAACGTAATTTATTCGGATGTTTTTTCTTTATCATCTAACTTTCTTTTTCTTTCTTACTGTCTCATGAAATTCAAAGTGTATTATTATNGGGGGGGGAAAAAGTATTGTCATGTATACATTCGAAGTTGTTTAATTATCACACGATTGTCTATCATTTAGGAGGAAGTTTACTATTGTTACGAAATATTCTTCGGAACTTGACGTACTCATTTAACATCGACGACTGCTCAATGTAGATTAACATTAGAATGCAATTGGGTCGTCGTTTTAGCTTATGCATTCATTCGTT